AACTCACCCCTGTTCTTTGGAAGATTACTTCAAAATCAAAAAACAGAGAAAAGTCTTAATGAATTGAAGTGAATGTGGACGGCATTTAACAACAGCAAAACTAAATCAAATGATCATTATGAACGTAAACAACCAACATGGCTATTGCTAGTACTCACAAAAGTTAAGTTAGCAGCTTGTGGACGACTCCGGTGACGGACAATAAGTGCACGGTCAGAATATGTGCACGCAGGCAAGCAGGTAACCCGTCCAATCATGACATTCGGGCTGAATGAGATGATTGATTACAGTCCTGTGACAGCCACAGAGCATTTGATTCATTGATTGCTGTCAGGATGTAATGAGAGTTATATCTAGAATATCAAAAATGTTTCTGAAAAAGATCACCAACCCTGGCTATAAAGGAAAGTTGCAAGGAAACTTATAAGTTGTACTTTTACTGATAAGGGTCCGCATATCCTTTCCATGTGTGTGTGTGTGTGTGTGTGTGTGTGTGTGTGTGTGTGTGTTTACATAATGACCAACCACTCCCTCCCTGGAGGGGATGTGCGCCATCGGAAAGGTCATGGTTGGGCATGTGCTCTGTCTGTCCACTGGTTGCCACCCATGACATAGCGGCTGAGCTTAGTCAATTCGTCAGGGTGTGGGTGGCACAGGGCGAGTGATAAACTGAAGTGTCACTCACAGTTGTGTCTGTGCGTGTGTGTGCGTGGGTGAGAGTGTGTATGTGTGTTTGAGAGAGTTCATCCACATGCACAAACATGGAGCCCCCGTGCGCCTCTGCGTCTGTATGTGCAGATAGGATTATGTGCATGTAGGTGTGTGAGAGAAAGAGAGAGAGGCCACGGGTAAATTAACCTCAGCTCTCCTTCCCTTCATCCTCATCCAGGACATGGAAAACACCTCCCTTTTCCTCCTCGCCTGGTGACAGCTCTTGTACTTTAACGACAATAAAAATTTACGTTCGGTTAACTCCTTTGTGGAGCAGCCAATACTAAAGGTGGATGGTGCAACACGGCTAATAACCCAGTGTATCGAGTAAGCACAAATGACAACTTTCAGACTCATCATTCTCTGTAGCACACAGATGAAAGGAACTCTTTATGGTCTAGAACAGCGCTCTTCAACGTTTTTCAGGCCAAGGACCTGATATCAAATAGCTTTTGCGGCTCCAGACAAATTTTATTAGGTGAAAAATAGGGTAAAATGGCTCTTTGGATAGTAAAGGTTGCCGACCCCTGGTGTAGAAGAACTACAGTGTCAGAATTGAAAACGTGAAAACGTAAATGGCCCCAATCTAGAGCCTGTTGTAAGAGTAGCATTTGCGTTAGCGAACGAGTTGGCAGCGGGGCTGAAGAGAGTTAGCTTAGCTTTGAGGATTTCAAGTGAATGTACAGTGGAAGTCGCAGTTTGTGCAGAAATAAATGTTGCTGCTCGTCAAGACCAACAGAGGTTTCCCGTGTTTTGTTTTCCGGTCCAGGAGAGCAAAACAACAGTGCCCACTCTGTGTTTTCCGACCACAGTTGAGAAACAGGTTGGTTTGTCTGTTCTTTGCCACTGTAGAAACATGGCGGTGAAGAGGGCCCGCTCCGTAGGTAGATATAAACGGCTCATTCTAAACTAACGAAAACACATCTCTGCCAATATATCCCCCTAAATGTTCCACACTGTTACTTTAAATCTAGTACACGATGCAGTAACTACCTTGCCTCAGATATCCCTCATGTACGCACTTATTTTGGCACCACCGATTTCAGGTACTATGCACCTTTTAAAATGGAATGAACTGCAAACGGCCCTCGAGCTAGGGTGTTGCATTGACTTAGAGATTTTAAAGATTTACAACACACTTTCATTCCACCTTGTCACATCGTCAGACCCCTTGGCAACACTTTCTTATGCACTGGATGGCCCGGCACACAGTCGCAGAAAACACGGGGTTAACGTTGTGAAGTCACACAAAAAAACCTAAACCTAAAAAAGTTTAGGCGACAAAACCACTTAGGTAGGTTACGGAAAAATATCATAGGCTTACAATAAGTACGTAAACTAAGTAAAACGTAAACAACGAAACGTAAGTACAGGAAACACGTCCCAAACATCACTAACGTAACTTCAAAATAACTCCGGTCTCCTGGATGAAGTGTTTGTTAGACCCTTCGGCCCTGTGTGTTTTTTTTAGTTTTTTTAATTTTTTTCTACTACGTCATCACGCTCCCTGAGCGTTTTCTCTGAGCCTCTAATAATGACGTCGATGAGTTTACATTGTAGTTATTTGGAAGCCCGATGCGTCTCATACAGACGTGAAAGGGTGCCTCGTGTGTCGGTATCAGATGGGGAGGGGCTTGATAAAGCGTCAGTGGGAATGACAACGGGCTGAGCTTTATTTTCTGGTGTTTTTTACGAGTCTTGTAACAATTTGTAATTCCATGTTACTGTCTGATTGTGTCCTTGTGAATGTTTCTTGTTCTTAACCTCAATGAGAATGAATGAATAACATTTTAAAAAGCTGCGATAGCTTCCCCTGTTTTGTATTCTCTGGCGCTCCGAATATCGATTTCAAACCAAGACTGTGGTGAGGATGTTGTCAGTGGCGCTGACACCAGACCTCGTCAAAGTAACTGCGCCCCGTGAAAACACTGTGAAAACATTGTGAACGTGATGACTGGAAAGAGCGAGGAGAATATAAACAGACTTCAGGGCCCATCTTGAACGCCCCCCCCCCCCCCCTCCCGGGTAAACTCAGCATGGGCACTGAAGCTAGATATCAGAGAAAATATTTACGGAGGCCGACCGGTCTGGTTTTTGTCGCCAAGCTGACTTTGTGTTATGGTTAAACAGAAGCATGTGTCACTGTATTGGATCATAACCGTGGCGCCTGCTGCTAGGCGTCCTAGCCAAGATTGGAATCTTAAAGTTGAACGTTCAAGACTCAAATAAAAACACTGATTATTTTGTTTCTATAACGTGAGCAAAGGGTTCCTATCCATGTACGCCTCTGTCACATCCCCTCCACCCCATTTCATCCCACACCACCACACCCCTTTAACGAGGGCACTGAAATAACATTGAGCCTCCCTACCTCTTTGAATTGTGGGTAGTTCTTCACTGTGGCATAAATGTCTTTAATCACAGTAATAAGTCCGTTTTTTACATCTCCGAATACAAATTTTGTTACAGCTGACAATCATTTACATAACAATGTTCTTATGGTTCTACACTCTACTGCACTGAAACATATATTTCATCTCCCATTACAACCACTGAGTCACTCTGTGTCAATTTGGGAGGGAATCAGTCTGTCACATTCCTTCAAATCTACTCGACCAAAACTCCAGTTTACATAATGCACCTTTAGTCACGTTTTGTTTCTGCACCAAGGGGCTGTGGGAAGTATGTCCAGCCCTCTTGTTCCCACTTCCTCTTCCTGTCCAGTCACTTTCCCCCCTGGGGAAAGTGGAAGGCAGCTCTCTTCCTCCTTCGCCAGCCCCGCCAATCTGAGGGAAGATGTTGAATAGTTTCAGGGTGATGATTGATGAAGATTGAACATAAGTCAGACAATTGTGTCTCTGCCTCAACAGTTATTATTGTACCTTCAGGAAATTTGAATCCGTGCGTCAGTGTCTCTTTGGGAAGGAGTGCTTTTCTTAGTTAATGTTTCTATTATTAAGTTCATTGTAAATTGTGCTGTTACTGGTGACATGGTAATCAAGAGAAGTGACATAGTTTTGGAGTACCCCTTTACCTACAGCAAGTGAGGCAAATGTTCTTTAAGGTTGCGTTAATTGGTTATGTTTTTGGAGACTTTGGGGCAACGGTACTACCTCAAAACACAACATTGACACATTATCACCCTATAAAGTTGATATGGCTAATGTGCCAGCAATGTGTTACTTATTTACACGTTAAGCAGACACAGCAGTCTCTAGTCTTAGTTGCTAATCTGACTTTAAACAACAGCAGGGGATCTCCAGAAATATATCTCCTTGCCCCCAGAGTCAATGGGTTCTGAGATTGAGTCTCTATCTGTTATGGGTGCTGCAAAATCAATGACTTTATATTGTAGAGGCTATTGGTACAGTTTAAATTAAGACATAAATTCATTTTGTAATTCGATCAGCAGTTATTGTATGTGTAATCTTTATCTGTAAAGTAGGTAGAAAATACAAGTAGTGGATTAAAGAGTGCAACATTTCCCTCTGAAGAGAAGATCTAAAGCTGCACCGATCTGAAATATGTAGAGCCGTACACTCCCTCAAAGTCGGCCGACTCTTTTGTTACTTTGTGTGCAGAATGTCATTTAAATCATCTTTTCCCCCAAAATGTCTATGAGATGTTGACTTTAATAACCAACATTATTTGACCACTCAACAGAAAAACTCCCTGTTCCCATCAACTTATTTTAATCGTCTCCCTTTTCTCTTGAAGCCCACTTAACCAGCCTTCCACTAGCCCAATAAAGGTCACGGTATGAAGTGATACTGATGATAAACTGGATTCTGCCTCTCAACACTGATTCATCTACAGCCGGAGTTTCTAAATATGAAATATGTCATGTCAAATTGTGACATTATGGAGCATATCACGATTAGTTCTTTGCTTGGCATATTTTTGACAGAGTATTAACTTAAATAAGGAAGAGGTACAAAAAAAACAATAGGAAAGATTCTACATGTGTGAGTGGAGAGATGTGTGTCTCTTCCCTGGAGGCTTTACTGGAATATCATCTAAATCTAGAAAACTCATGGGAGAGGATTATGGGATATTGTCGCCCGCCCCCCCCCCCCTCTTATTGAAAAGTTCACGTGCGTGCATGTGTGTGCGCTCTGTCGTTGAATGTGTGTGTGTGTGTGTGTGTGTGTGTGTGTGTGTGTGTGTGTGTGTGTGTGTGTGTGTGTGTGTTTTGATGGGACAGTCTCTTTGAGATAAGGCTTTTGGACAGCGGGGGAGGGAGGGTTGAGCAATCAGACCGGGGCTTTAACTGTTGGCCAAGACTGAACTTCCTTCCTCGCCTGGTCCGACATAAACAAATACAGTGTGAGGCTTTTATAAATGGGGGCTATGCTCAGCCTCCAGTCGCTGAATCCGCTTCAGATCGTCGAACACGGAGCTCTACACCACCGCAGGCCACCACTTTTCTAACATCGCCACCATGATTCATTCAACAAACGCGCTGCTCATTTGTGTGGTTGTCCTCTGCGCGCTGGAGGAAACGGTCCTGTCCCAACGCGGATATTGCGCCGCGAATCAGTGTTTCGCATTTTTCCTGGAGCCCAAGGACTTTACAGGCGCACGGAAAAGCTGCAGCGACTCTGGCGGACAGTTGTACGCGTTAGGCTTGGAACACGTAGAGGAGATATTGACTGTCAGCGGTAGTTACTGGGTGGAGCTGCCCAGCACAGACACGGCAGCAGAGGAAGCTGCAGCAGGTCTACAAAGCTGCCCGTTCATCTCCGTGACGACCGGACGCAAAAACGAGCTGCAGCGGGAGCCGTGCCGCGGCACCCGGAACGGATTCCTGTGCCAGTACAAGTTCCAGGAGCCGTGCAGTGTCTTACAGACAGACGGAGACACGCAGGTGAAATACACCACGCCCATGCACTTTAGGGCGGACGAATCGGAAACGTTTCCACCAGGAACCACCGCGGTAACGGTTAAGGTTGGCGGTAATTATCCGGAATCGAAGCACTTGTGTTTCTCCAAGGGTTGGATGCAAGCTCCCTGGAGGTGTGAGGTGCTGTGGGGGGGCTGCGAGCACAACTGCGGTGCCACCACACACACCTGCATCTGTCCCGCGGGGAAGGTCCTCCATCACAACAACATCTCTTGTACCAAGGGTCCCTGCGAGAACAACCCGTGCACAGGCGAGGGTGAGGAGTGCGAGAACACCCGGGAAGGGTTCAAGTGCACGTGCAGTGATGGCTTTATCGAGGAGGATGGGGGGTGCGTAAATGTCACGATCTGCGAGAGGTGCGAGCACATGTGTGACAAGTTCGATGGGGTTTACCAGTGCATGTGCAAAAAGGGGTTCAGGGTGGCGGCCCACGACCCCACCAAGTGCGATATGATCTGCAACGAGAAGGACTGTCCGGCCAGGTGCGACAGGAACGACCAGGATTCGTGCTACTGCCCCGACGGTTACATCCGAGACTTCCAAGACGGGAAAAGCAGCGCACCCTTCTGCACCGACATCAACGAATGCGAGATGGGGCATTGCGACCACAAGTGTGAGAATTTGTTCGGGGGTTACCAATGTTTGTGCAACGAGGGGTTCAGGCTGCACCAGGACAGGAACACGTGCGTGCCCATCGAGGAGGACGACGATGGATCGGGCTCCACTCCTCCGTACCCCACCCCAGCCGGCACACACCCGGTCGCGGTGCCCTCTTACATCAAGACCGGCAGCGTCCTGGGCATCAGCATGTTCATGGTGCTGTGCGCGGGCCTGCTGTACTTCCTCATCCGAAACGCGGTCAAGCGTTGCGGCAGATTCGAGCTCTCCTCTATCAAACGCCCAGACATCGATATTTTCTATCTGCAGCAGGTGACCTCGGAGGCGTACAAGAGGTTGTCTATGGACAAACACTTCAAAAGTGACTCTTAAATACTTTTAATCTCACCCATAAGGAAGTATGCTGCTTTTCAACCTTTTTTCTTTTTTATTTCCTCAAGAGACGTCTTGAGAAGTTTTGAACTTTTTCACATTTTTTCACAGGAAGCTGCCCTCAACCACACTCTGTGAAGCAGTGATCTGTCCCGTGATAGGGTGACGGGTGGCCCGCCAACCATTGTCTAATTCACTATGAAAATAAATTGGTTCACAATGGGAAAATTCTTTCTTCAACTTTTAATGTAAATGCAGTGCCAGAGTTCACAAAAAGCATAAAGATATACATAATTATGAAAAATATCCAAAAAATAAAATGTATGTTTAATAAGTTATTAAGTCAGAGTAATTTTATCTGATAAAGTCCTAGATATTGGACTTGATTTCTGAATGTTTAGTCGATTTTTGTATGGAATTGTTGTTAATTTGTCTTATAAAAACAAACGAGAGGCTGTTACATGGTACTAATAAGTTAGTATGGTTGCTTTTTCAAATTACAAAGCAGTTTCCTTAAAAGCTCTACAAATCCAGCAATGTCAACCTTTAATAATTTTCAATGTATTTGAAAGACAAGGTTCTCTCACCAGAACCAGCTCTATGTCTGATGTCACTTTGTTGTTGTCTTATTACACTGTACTGAGCTGTAGTTAAGTTCTTTAAAAAAGGAAAACAAAACGTGCCTTTGCTCGACATCATTGTTTTGCACACTTTTGCGTATCTCTTTGTCTGTAAAGTGACACTGTAAACCTTTAGTGTAGATAAAAGGAGCTTTTTTTTGTCAAATGCACATTATTTTTCTAGTGTGTAGTGCGTGTGACTGATGTTTTCTCATTTAATATGTTTTATATTTATTACATTTGAGATGTCTGATGTCCTTGGCCACTATTTGTTTTGGGATGCATCGGTTGCTATGGAAACCGTATCTGATAACTCACAGCAGTGTGTAGTCAGGTGTTACGGACCATTTTTCACATGCGCTTCCCTGGCGGAGATCATCCGAAATGACAAATCCACATTGTGGATTGTCCAAATGTGTATTGACTTAAATAGACTTGTATTTCTGGGGGCATCTCTGGGTTCTCTCTCCAGGTCCTGATTTGGTCACACGATTCCTTCTGTATAACACTGAGAACACTATAACTGTAACTGAATGACATGTTACCGTATACTCCCTGATAATGCTGTGCTACCACTGACAGTCACATGAGGTTGAATGTTGTTGCCTTTACTGTATAACTGACGGCTCATGGAGCTTTTATCAGTCGGTGAATATTTCACAATTGAATGATAAATAAAGTTCTGAACACAAAATGTTGGTGTGTGATTCACAAAAGGTTCATTTTCATTAATATTTGTAGTACTGTAATCATTTAGCAAGGGGGACTTGGTGTCACTTAGCAATATTCATAACAGAATAATCGTAATTATATTAATACGTGAGGTGAGAGGAAGAAATACTGGGGGAGAAAATCCCTTAAATAATAGACGTTCCTTTGCATTTTATCTGTTTTATTATTTCTCTCTTATTTTATTCAGTTTTACATTTCACTGCTGACCTCGGGTCACATTGCAAGATTTTTCATTGTGTCAACCTCTTCCTTATTCTGCCTCGTTATGAGCTATGATGACGTTCATGTTCACGTTAATGTCCCAAACAAGTCAAAATGTGTTGGAACTAAGTTCTAAACTGTCAAAGTTTTAACCTCAAGCTAAACTGTAAAGTCTGACCACGAGACTAAAAAAACAACTCGTTCACACTTGGTGAAGAGTGGTTTGGGGAGGGGCTACTGCACATTGGGGGCGTTGGGTAGATGCCCCCACCTCCACTTGCGTGCGCGCTGCGTACGTGCGTAAAAGCCGTGCGTAATTTGGGGATGTGGTCTGCCTTGCAGAGGAGAAAGTTTCTGAAGGAAGGGGGATGGGGAGTGGGGGGGGGGGACAGTGAGCAGGGGGGGGGGGGGGGGGCAGTGAGCAGCGGAGAGGGCTGATTAAGAGCCACTTCCTTCCTCCGCCAGAGCACTAAACATGGAGTCGGAGGGCTATAAATACGAGCTTGACGTTTTCTCAAACAAACAAGCCTATACACTGCCGGGACGCGCGAGAACATAAACGGACAGCAACGAGGTTCAAACATGAGGGACGTTACGGGACTATTTGTTTTCTTGTTGACTTTCCTGATGGGAAGAGCCGGCGGGATAGAGCCGAGTAACGGGTACTGCATCGGGACCCAGTGCTTCACTGTGTTCCATCACGCCAGCGATTTCACAGCCGCGCAGGACCGATGCAGAGACCGGGGAGGACATTTGATGACAGTGCGGTCGTCTGTCTTCCACGATATTCTCTTCATCTTGTTGGGGAACTTGACGGGGCGGTACTGGATTGGCTTACATCTGGCGACCGGCTGCCCGGACTCTGCTGCTGAGCTGAGGGGCTTCCAGTGGGTGACCGAGGACAGCGAAAGCGACTTCTTCAACTGGGCGCCGGGTTTGGAGGACAGCTGTTCCTCTCAGCGCTGCGTCTCGGTTTCCCAAGAGGACGAGTTTCAATGGATCCCGGAACCGTGTGGGGAACACTTGGCCGGGTTCCTCTGCGAGTACAGCTTCAGTGACCCGTGCAAAGGTCTTACGGCCGCGCAGGGCGAGTCCGTCACCTACAGGACCCCCATGGGGTTTGTGGGCGAGGATGTGCTGTCTTTGCCCCCCGGAAGCACCGCCATCCGGATGCCGGCCGAGACCAAATACGTCTGCTTCACCGAGCAGTGGCTGCAGGCACCCTGGAGCTGCGAGATACACGAGGGCGGGTGTGAGTACAGGTGCGCGGTGAACCCCAAAGACAGGCCCGTCTGCTTCTGCCCGTCGGGCCAGACCGTCAACCCCACGAACAACGTCACCTGCGAGGTGATGGGCGCGGACCACCCGTGTGTGGCCCTGCACTGCGCGCAAGCCTGCTACAAAGACGGAGACTCCTACGCGTGCATGTGCGACCACGGCTTTAAGTTGGCGCAGGATGGCATGTCGTGCGTGGACTTTAACGACTGCCGGGACGACCGGCAGTGTCCCGGGGAGAACTTCATGTGCGTCAACGTC